CAGACGTGGGCTTTCACGGTAGGCGGGATTCCCAGTGGAAGTAGGTCCTTCCCAAAGAGAGGGGTTAAGTTGCAGCAGCCGTAAAGAAGGTCTTGTAGATGTCCTCTGAACCAAGATTCCATGAGTTGCAGTGTCTGACAAGTTATGCAAAAAAGGTATAAAATACCGACAATATGAAAGTTAAGACACATGTGCAACATCTGGATATCTTTATTGTAGACGTTTCGCCATCCAGTGGCTTTTCAATACAGATTCTGGACTAATAGGAAGACAGTAGAATTTATATACAAAAGATGAGGTAATCAGCCCCTCCTTTGAGTTAGTGTTCACAGCATCGTGGTGGAGGAGAATCTGGAGCAAAGGCAAGAAGGACTGGAGGTTTTTATAGGCGTCAGTGGATAGGGACGGGCAGCAGACGAGGGCAGTCACTGGTAGGCGGGATTCTTGGTTTGGTTGCTGCTTACCATAACCCCCAAGTCCTGTTTGAAGAGATAAATTAAAAATGTTAGTTAATGGTTCACAGAGTCCATTTTGCATTCCTTAAAAACCCTTGAAAAAAACCCCATGATTACCCGGTGACTTATTTTGCTTCAATCGGTCTATCTGCTTCACAACCATTTCATAGTGGACTGTGATGTTACATAATTTATCTTTTTTCTGGCCCCACTGTAAAAAATAATTACTGGAATATTATTAGTGTCTTTCCCGTGTAAAAACCGAGAGAAAATAAAATTTTTTAAAATCGAGCACATCTTTGTCAGTAAGTGCCCCTAGTTATTTTTAAGGGGACCTGTCTTATCTCTGACTTTTGTTCTATATACCTGGAAAAAAACTTTTTGGGTTAGTTTTAGAATCCCTAGCAACTTAACTTCATAGTCCCTTTTGCTTTTCTTATGCCCTTTTTAATGTCCCTCTTAATGTCAATATACTGATTCATATGATGACCCTCACCTCTTTTGATACGCTATAAATTCCTTTGTTATGCCCTAGTAGATATTTCAGCCTTCTATTCATCCATTTTGGGTCATTTTATTTGATCTAATTTCTTTATACGGGATAAACGTTCTTTGGGATCATGTATAGTGTTCAGAAAACTGTCATATGATAGCTCTCTTCGTTACCCCAGTCAACAGATACAAATGTTCTCTAAGCCCTTTGTAATCTGCTAAGCGAAAATCTGGGACTGTTACTGAGTTATCCCTACTATCATTTCTTCCATTGAATGCTAAATGTAATTGATTTTGTGGTCGCTAGCACCCAGTTCCTCCGAAAAATTCTAAATTATTAACAAGGGGTTCATTGTTTTTCCAGAACTAAGTCAAGCAGGTTATTACCCTTGTAGGTTCTGTCACAAACTGCTTAAAAAAAATATCCTGAACTACTTCTAAGAAGTCGTATGATTCTAAATTTCCAGTCAAGAAATTCCAATCAATATGACTAAAGTTAAAGTCTCCTAGAATTACTACATTATCGTGCCTTGTGGCCCTAACAATTTCCTCCCATAGTAGTCTCCCTTGGTCCCTACCTAAGTTTGGGGGACGGTACATCACACCTAAAATTAATTTTTCATGCCCCTCTGAAAATTCTATCCAAATAGACTCTGTATGTGTTACTTCAGACTTAATACCCGTTTTTATGCAACAGTTCAAGCGATCTCGGACATACAATGCCACCCCACCCCCCTTCCCGATACTTCTATCTACTTTTTGTAGATGAATGGTTCAGAGAACCGACATGTTGATAAATTAGACACATGTGCAACTCTTGGGTATCTTTATTGAGGAAACGTTTCGCCACACAGTGGCTTCATAAGTCCATACGTAGGAGAAACTTGAAGAACAGGAGGAGAATGAGGTAATCAGTCCCTCAACCTTGAGTCGATGTGTTCAGTCCATCAGTCTTTATCCATCCATCAATATCCTTCATCCCAGCCCCAGGAAAACACACTCTCTGCCTCCTACTCCTATCCTTCAAGCAGAATGCCCTATCTATGTACCTAATCTGGCTATCCCCAACAACAACAATGTTTTTACCTTCCTTGGCGTCGTCCTTCGTGATGCTCCCAGTAGTCGACTCACATTCGTCAGGTAGCTTTACACCTCTTGTGGAATTCGTCAAGACGTTCTCGTTGTCTTCTTTGGGTATTCTAGGGATGTCTCACTCACGTCTGCAAATGCTTCCTTGGTGCTCGTTGTGGCATTCCCAGTAGAACACTCACATTCGTCAGGTAGCACGGAGAATGGGTTGAAGTTTCCACGGCAGTCTTCTGGTTTCTCGTTGTTTCTGCCTTTCCAACCGTTTTCTTGATCCTCAGCTTGGTTCCATGTTGCCCGGCCACTGACCAAGCTCCCCTCTTAACCTGGGGACTCACAAAAGGAGGAATACTACGAATCCTCTTGTTCTCCTCCGTTAATCGCCCTATCTCCAGCTTAGCAACTCTGAGCTCCTCTCTCAGCTGCTGGTAAAGTTGCTCAAGAGAGGGCATCCTGGTTCAGATTCAGAGAGCACACAAACAGGTCTTCACAGAGCTAAGTACACGTCACCACGTTTGAATCAATTATCCTTCCTATCTTTGTGTCATCGGCGAATTTGCTCATATCACTAGTAATTCCTTCATCAAGATCATTGATATATATTATAAACAACAACGGGCCCAAGACTGATCCCTGTGGAACGCCACTTGTTACTGATCCCCACTCGGATTTAACCCCATTTATGGACACTCTCTGCTTCCTGTCTGTGAGCCATGATTCGATCCACGAGAGCACCCTTCCCCCAATGCCATGAGCTGCTACTTTCTTTAACAGTCTATGGTGCGGAACTCTATCAAAAGCCTTACTAAAATCTAAGTAAATAATATCAAATTCTTTATCGTGGTTAACAGCCTCAAAAGCTTTACTGAAGAAAGTTAATAAATTAGTTAGACAAGACCGGCCTCTTGTGAATCCATGCTGAGTATCCTTAATCAAGCTATGCTTATCGAGATGGCTTCTTATAATGTCAGCTATAATTGACTCTAGTAATTTGCCTACAATTGAGGTCAGGCTTATTGGGCGGTAATTTGAAGGTAACGACTTGTCCCCTGTTTTAAAAATAGGAATTACATTAGCCATCTTCCACATATCAGACACTACACCTGTTTGAAGAGATAAATTAAAAATATTAGTTAATGGTTCACAGACTTCCATTTTGCATTCCTTAAGAACCCTTGTAAAAACCTCATCAGGACCCGGTGACTTATTTTGCTTCAGTCGGTCTATCTGCTTCACAACCATTTCACTAGTGACTGTGATGTTACATAATTTATATTCTTCTGGCCCACTATAAAAATTAACTACTGGAATATTATTAGTGTCTTCCTGTGTAAAAACCGAGAGAAAATAATTATTTAAAATCGAGCACATTTCATTCTCTTTGTCAGTAAGATGCTCATAGTTATTTTTAAGGGGACCTATCTTATCTCTGACTTTTGTTCTGTATACCTGGAAAAAAACTTTTTGGGTTAGCTTTAGAATCCCTAGCAACTTTAATTTCATAGTCCCTTTTAGCTTTTCTTATCCCCTTTTTAATGTCCCTCTTAATATCAATATACTGATTCATAAGATGACCCTCACTTCTTTTGATACGCCTGTAAATTCCTTTCTTATGCCCTAGTAGATATTTCAGCCTATTATTCATCCATTTTGGGTCATTTCTATTTGATCCAATTTCTTTATAAGGGATAAACGTTCTTTGAGCAGCATGTATGGTGTTCAGAAAACTGTCATATTGATAGCTCTGTTCGTTACCCCAGTCAACAGATGATAAGTGTTCCCTAAGCCCATCGTAATCTGCTAAGCGAAAATCTGGGACCGTTACTGAGTTATCCCTACTATCACACTTCCATTCAATGCTAAATGTAATTGATTTGTGGTAGCTAGTACCCAGTTCCTCTGAAACTTCTAAATTATTAACAAGGGATTCATTGTTTGCCAGAACTAAGTCAAGCAGGTTATTACCCCTTGTAGGTTCTGTCACAAACTGCTTCAAAAAACAATCCTGAACTACTTCTAAGAAGTCGTATGATTCTAAATTCCCAGTCAAGAAATTCCAATCAATATGACTAAAGTTAAAGTCTCCTAGAATTACTACATTATCGTGCCTTGTGGCCCTAACAATTTCCTCCCATAGTAGTCTCCCCTGGTCCCTATCTAAATTTGGGGGACGGTATATCACACCTAAAATTAATTTTTCGTGCCCCTCTGAAAATTCTATCCAAACAGACTCTGTATGTGTTACTTCAGACTTAATACCCATTTTTATGCAACAGTTCAATCGATCTCGGACATGCAATGCCACCCCACCCCCCTTCCCGACATTTCTATCTACTTGGAACAATTTAAAACCCTGAATGTGACATTCTGCAGGCATGTCCCGACTTTTTGAATTAAACCACGTCTCAGTTATGGCAAATACATCAATGTTACCTGCACTAGCAACTAGTCTCAACTCGTCCATCTTATTCCTAGCACTGCGACTATTTGTGTAATAAATATTTAAAGACCCTCCTCTCTCTTTACCCTTCCTGCTCCTTTCTGTTATTCCACTAAACCTATTACTGTCCTTGTCAATTAGTGCCACTGGCTTTCCAATATCCACCTCATTTTGCCTATTATTAGTTCTCCTAGTACTCACATTACTACACTGCGACTTCACAGTTTTCCCGCCAAAACCCATACCACTGACTATTCCTAGTTTAAAGACCTAACAGCTCCCTCCACTGTGTTGGCCAGTGCTCCCACCCCACACCTAGAAAAGTGAACCCCATCTCTGGCATACATGTCATTTCTGCTATAGAAGAGGTCCCAGTTGCCAATGAATGTTACCGAATTTTCCTTACAGTATTTGTCCAGCCAGCAATTGACACCAATTGCTCTGGACAACCATTCATTTCCAACTCCTCTCCTTGGCAAAATGCCACATATGACAGGTTTCCCACCCTTCCTCCTAATTATCTCTTCGTACTTGCTTCGCAGTACATATACAAAAATTTGGGAACGATACAGAAAAGATTAGCAGGGCCCCTCCCAAAGGATGACACGCAAATCTAAAGCGTTCCACATTTTATTCGTCTCTCCACCTTTGAGTAAGAGGACGTGTTTTTACCCCTGCTCCCCTTATAGGGGTTCGGTGGCTTTTTTTTTCCCAAACAGGGGCGCGGGCAGCCAACCCCGCGTCAACCGTTGTTTGGAATTAACTGGGGGGGAGGTTGGACCATCAATGGCGATTTTATTGCCACGATAATCCGAACACCTTGGTTCGAAACGAGGTTTGGCGGTGTACGATGAATGGTGTGAAAAAAATTTTTTGAAAATTTTTAGCCGCTAAATTTACGAGAATGTCGTCGACAAGTATCAAGAGGTCAATTGGTTAACCGCTGTGTCGTAACACACGATGATCCCGCCTTTATCAGGGGTAAAATGAAAATTACCCTTTGAGGCTGATGCCTGATATACGTGCTCCCCTGATAATTTACGGCACATACACAGGGCTACAGCAGGGAGGGGGCCTGATCCCTATAAGGGGACTCCCTGGGGGAAAATTTTTGGGTAAAAATGACATTACGACATCCAACCCTTCAAGTGATCCTGCAAGACTTGGGACTCAAGTTTTTGTGATTTATCGGGGCAACGCCGCCTTGTGGGTTTGTGGAGCATACGATCATTTGGCGGTGCAGTGTGAAAGGAACAGTGCCGGGGTTGTCAACAAGAAAGGATTTAGGGGAGGAAGGTATAAGACAAGATGTGCCTAAAGCCCCTGTCCCCTCAAGTTGTCTTGGAGCAAAGAGGTTGAGGGGTCCGAACCGGTTGGCTACACCCCCGGGAAGTGTCCCTCCTTTGGATGCAGCCCGAGGGGGGAAACGGCTTCGCGAAAAGGGGGCCCAATGAGGGGAGACACCCTTTTGTCTCTGTGTTAGCGAATTTTTAGGGAGGACAGCTGAGTTGCGACGGCACCACCCCTAGACGGGACGGGCTGCACGGCGGACGTGGATCAGACGTGCGCGGTGTGGACCCCCTGACCTTGCTGAAAAAAACGGTGGAGGTAAAAAATTCACCAGGTTTGCACTGTGGACGACGAAATGCAGGAAAATGAAACACGAAACGCTCTTTTTACACTTTCAGACGATGATGTTTAACCCCACCCCAAAGACAGGGAAAAAATCAGGGGCGGATGTGGCAAAAAAGGGGCCCCTGTGTCCCCAAAGCACGGGGATGATTAGGAGTGCTTCAAAAGGAGGGAAGGGAAAATTGAAAAAAAAAATCAGTGAAAAACAAAAGGTCAAAAGAAAACATCATTGTCGTTTTTTAAGTCCCTCACAATTAACATTAAGGTTTTTTACGAACGTCGAAAGTGTGCATGTTACGTGATTTAGGGTGCGTAAAAATTGGACGTTGTGTTCAAAAGGAACACAATCATAAAGTGGAGTGAATTGCGGATAGAAGATAAATGTGTACATGGAAAATGCTTTCGGTAAAAGGGTGGCTTGCCATCATGATCAGGGAGACAGCCTTTTTGTTGTGAGACGTAGTGAAGGGGGGGGGGGGGGATAAAAAGGGTGGAAGGGCTTTGGGGAGGGGTGAAGGTGGCTTTTGTGGTTGTAGGGCCGTGAGAAGTGGGCGTGAAAAGCAACCTTTGTGAAAGGGTGTTAATTTATTTTTGGGGTCACCCTGAAGTAGCTATTGTAGGGGGGGTTTGGAATTGCGTGATCCGGCGTAAGGATTAGAACCTGGGGGAAGGGGGTATTTTTCGGGGGTATTGGGAGATTTATGTCGGGGGTGGGATTAAAGGACGTGGGGGGGGGGGGAAGGTTACATACTTTTGTACGTCGGGGATATGCGGCGCGACTTGATAGAGTGTAGTGTCCGCCCTCGTAGTTAAAGTGTGCGTGTTTTTAGATGTGGTGTTTTCTGACATAGGGTTTTGTGGCCCAGGGTGGGGGGGTTTACCTAAGGGGGGTTTTAGTTTTTGGAAATTGAATGTTAAATTGTTAAAAGGGGGGAGAAATAGGAAATTTTTTGAGTTTTTTGGGAGGGTTTGTTAGCAGGGGCCCCGGGGATAGGACTTGGTTTTGGTTGGTGGGATTGGTGGCAAAGAACGTTTCGGATTACTATTTGGGCTTGGAGGGAAAGTAATCAATTTTTTATATGGCTACGGGGGTTTTTAAAGGACGTTACGCAATTTTATGGGGTGAGGGTGCGAGATACCCTGGGAGGAAAGGGGAAAATTAAAGCAACGAAATTAAAGGGGTTTGCAAAATGCGTTTTGAGGGGTGCACGTGTGGTGGGGGTTGAGGAGGTTCCCCTAGGGGGGTGGGCCTTCGCGTGTGCTTTAAAGGGGGGAAGCAAAAGGGAGGGCACCAGGGATGTGGGTTAAACTTTCAAGGGGAGGGGAGGGTTGGGGAAAGGGCAGGTTTTGATGTCGACTGAAGGTATATGGATATTTATGCAGGGTTTAGGTCTAGACAACATGTGGGTATACGAGATGATTTTTAAGGGAAATGGGTGTTAGGCAATGCGAGTTTAGGGTGAGATGGGAGATTTTGGGAAGGACAGATTAAGAAGGGGAAATTTGGAGGCTATAGTAGGTGAAATTTAGTAAGGCCCCGGGGTGTAAGGTTGCCTAATGATTTTATGTTAAAAACGGGGAAATTGAGGAGTTTTTTAGTGAGATTGTTCAATGTAAAAAGGGAAGATGGGCAATGGGTGAGCACAAAGAACTGCTGTTGTTGTTTTATCCCAAAGGGGGTGGCAGACCACGTAGAAGATTACCGTGCAATATCGCTTATGTGCGGTGATTTAATTTTTTGCAAGGGTATTGGGGAAACAGAATCAAACGGGTTTGGGAAAGAATTGATAGAGGACAATAGGCATCCCGGGTAGATAAATGTAAAAGGGGCATGGAGCTTTTAGGAGTTTTAAGACATAGGGGGAGGGGGGGGGGGGTGTTTTGGCTCTGGATTGGAAAGAGCTGCTTATGATAGCGTAAAAAGGGGATGCTTTGGAGTTTTTTGCTTGGGTTTGGGGTTTTCGGGGGGGAAATTTTCTTGGGCAAAACTTTGTATCGGGGTGCTTTAAAGAAATCAGGTTAAGGGACGACTGGGTGATACATTCAAGGGGGAAGGGGTTTTTGCGACAGGGTCCCCCTCTTCCAAATTTTTGTTTGCATGTTTTCGGGAAAAACCCTTTTATGGGGCATTAGGGGGGAGTATAGCGAGAGCGGGGTTGGTTTTGCACGTGAAGGGAAGCGGGTTAGTGGGTTACGTGGATATACGACTGTTTTGGGAGGGATGTGGGGGATTTACAAAAGGTAGAAAGGGTAGACTTTTTTGGGTGAGGCAAAGGGGATGAAAATTAATGTGTAAAGTCCAAGTTTTTGGATCTGGGGGATGGTACATAATGGGAGACTGTTGGGGGTGGGGGGCGTGTGGTGGATCAGCGTTGATTGTGGGATAGTGTCATGCGGAATAAAGGGGTGCACAAGGGGCAAATTCGAGGGCCCCGTGGATGGAGTTTGAAAAGATTGGGAGGTTTGGGGCCGACAATTATCTTTTGCCAAAGGGTTATAGTCACAATGTCCTGTTGATAGCAAGTTATGGCACGGGGGGGCAATATATCCGTTACGACGGTGTGGGGTGAAAACGGTTGCAATGGGGGTTTTTCGATTATATGGGGATGGGGTTTGTGAGGCAAAGTAGGGGGGTGGTGTCGTTCCCCCGTTAGCCGGGGGGGCTGGGGGTTATACCTCTTGAAAGGTTGTTGAGTGTGTTTCTAAAAAGGGGGTTTTGGGGGGAGGGGTGGGGGGGGAGGCCTTAAAAGATGCGCAGGATATGCAACGGTGGTGGGGGGGAGGGATTTAATTTTTGGGGGGGGCATTTTTGGGGTTTACTGAAGGTAAGGATCCGAAACACTTAAATTAAAGGGTTCTTGAGAGGGTGGGGGGTGGGTCTGTGGTGGGGGCAGTTGGGGGGGGCATACCCTATTATGCATGGGGTTCGTAGGAAATGTTTTCAAAAAACTACTTTAAAAATCAAGGTCGGGGGTTATTTTTGGGTTTTTTTACATGGGTCTTGCCGTCTGGGGTGTTTTTTTAATAGGAGATTAAGGGAGGGGGGGGAGTGCAAAGCTGTGGTGCCGGAAAAACCATATTTCACGTGTGTATTTTTGAAACTTGTTTAGAAGATGTGGGGGTCTGGCTAAGAGAGTAGTTAGGTAGTGGGTGGGGAAGGTTAAGGTGTTGCGGGGTTAAGTTTAATATGGTGGGGGAGTCAAGGTGGTGAATGCGGTTGCGTTTTGGGCACAGTTTTTTATTTATATACTTTGGCAATGGGGGAGGTGGAGTCGGGGAAAAGGGATAAGAGTGTTGGGGGCCACGATGTATAGAACAAAGTGCCGAAATGGGTCTTTAGGGGGAAGAGGGGAGACAGCATTTACGAAGGTTATCGTAATTCTTTGGGATTTAAGAGATTTAAGTGTAAAGAAAAGGGGTTGCGGGGGGCTATTTTTCTTGATAGGGAAAATGTGTATGATGTTACGTTTTGGGATTTTTTGGTAATAAAAAAATAAGCTTCTTTTGGATGTGAGTTTTGGTCTGGGTTGTTGTGTAAGAATTTTATTCACATTGTTTTTCAGAAGGTATTTTTTTAAATGAAAGTAGTGTTGTTACACTCATGATTGGTTTAATGGTGGAGGTACTTTCCACATATTTTGTGTTTGAGGGTTTGGGTGCCCCAGGCATGATCTAATTTTTGGATTCCCCCTTTTGTCCCAAAGGTGTTATACAAAATGTATTGGTGTTTTTGTGGTAGGTTTAATGTATTCAACACTGCTTTTTATTTTCCCTTTCGTTATTTGTTTCTTTGTCATTTCAATGCACTTTGTATAGCATTAACAACGGATCGTTTTTTACCAATGAAGAATTTTTTTTAGACGCATTCCTTTTGGGAGTTGTTGTAACGGGTTTAAATGAAATGTAATGAGTGGGTTTGAGATCTATGCCTTTTTTTTGATTTTTATTTTTTTTGGTAATGAAAAGCGAATGAGGGAAAAGTATGTGATGTTCTAGTAGGTTT